CAGCGTCGGCGGTGTGCCGGTACCGCCGGTGCCCGAAGGGGCTGCGTGGCGGGCCAATATCGCCCGCATCCGCTCGTCGCTGCCGGAGGAGCAGCGAAACGAGCCGAGATACGCCGTCGACAGGCACACGTTGTGGACGATGTTCTTCGAGCGGCGCCGCGTGGAGTAGATCGCCTTCGCCAACGGTACCATCCCCCACGGCCGCCTCAACGTGGACGGGCGGCGCGAGTGGTGGGGCGTGCCCAACCGCACCCTCGAGGCCGTCCTCGACCACATCGAGACCGGCAACACGCCGCGCCTCGAGTACCCGCCGCGGCCGTCGTTCTCATGACGCCGCGATGAATGGAGCCTGGGACGTCCTCCTCGTCGGGCTCCGGCTTGCTCTCCTCCGGCTTGCTGGCTCTCTGCCCTGTCAAGGAAGAGCCGGAGAAGGAGACGTCGCTACGTCTCCGCACCCGCAGCGGCGCCCTCGTCATCCGCGAGGGCAAGCACGAGGGCGCCCGCCCCTCCCCGCGCTCTCTCCGCCTGGTTCGGCCGAAGACCGAGCCGGGGCTGCTCCCCGTGAAACCGGAGCACGCGGAGATGGCCACTGACGACGAGGCTGCCCTCAAGTGGGCAAGGGAGGACTACATTCGCGAGCAGGTGTTCCGCCAGCGCCGAGCATACGCGGAGCTCCAGGCCCGGCGCCAGGCCGCGCGCCGCACGCGGACTACGTGAGGAGGGCGGCAGCGTCGTCCTCAACAATGACGAGGAGGACGAGGCCGGTCCGTCCAACCCCGCGCTGGTCGGTGACCCTGGCCAGGGTAGCAGCAGGGACGACGACGGGTCCGGCAGGGCGCGCGACGACGATGATGGCGACTACACCCGATTCTACAGGCTCCTCGGCATGTAGAAGGCGGGCGACGACCACGGCGTAGCAGTAGCAGTAGTTTGCATGTTTTAGGCGTAGTTTAGGATTAGTTTTGCATGTTTGTACAAATTTCTACGAATTATCGTTGAGTTTGCACAAATTTGTTTGAAAATTCGCCGAGTTTGCGCGTTTCCTGGGGCGGCCTTGGGGCGACGACTAGGAACGCAATCGCCCCCGACGTGCCAACAAATGTCGGTTCGCCCTCAGGAGGCTCTTTTTCGGTGTCGTGGAGGGCGAACGGCCGGAGATGCTCTTACATACGGTGTTGAAAATCGTTCAAACATGGCATGGCCATGCCAACCTCTTCACGAGAGTTGGGGCCATTATAAGAATGTCCAAAAATAGTTTTTGTTTCGCACATACCAGGTCGATACGAGTGAACATGGGCCTTCCCATTTTAATCTGTTCATTGCCTCCGAGATGCCGGCTTTCAGAACCTTCTAGATGGTTCTAGGTCGGTTTTTACCGGTTTGGGAAAAGGTTCATGAATCATTTTTTTCCTTTTTTCATTTCTTTTTTTTTCAAATTTGCAAAGTTAAAAAATGTTCAACATATTTATTTATCTATTTATATTTTCCCAATTTTTTTGAAGAATTCAAAAAATGGTCTCGTTTTCAAAAAAGTTCATAGTTGTAAAATTGTTTGTATTTTAAAAAATGGTTTGGATTTTTAGTTTTTTCCCATTTATCAAAATTTGTTCAGAGTTTTAGACTGTGTTCCACTTTGGATTTTTTTTTGCCTTTTCATATATTTCTAAAATTTTAATCAATGTTCACGTTTAAGAAAAACTGCATTCGAAATTCCAAAAAGTTCAAATTTGTCGTCGTTCATATTCTCCCCGCCCCGGTATAATGGGCACAATGACCAAAACTCTAGGACCAAGGCTTTGTCTCATGGGTACTAAATATAGTATGGGTAATTCTCACCGGTAATCGTGTGCAGTTTCTTTTCGTTTCCCATATTAATTAATTCTCGTAATTATAGCTGCCACAAAACTCGCTCTAATAAATGCTACATGCCGTTGCAAAAGCAAATGCATGCACCGGTTGGTTCCTATTAAGCTGGTCACAATAGGCAAGAACATAATCTAGTAATTTCACACTTCCCTAGACTATGTTACTATCACCATAGTGGGTAGGAACATCTATGTAATGTCATGCAACGATGTATTTATTAGGTTATAGACTCATTGTTTCTTGGAGTGTGTGATGTTCCGGTAACTTAGCTAGTTACCACAAACACCTCTCTCTTCACTAAATACGTGCCACATAAGCAAACTTGTATTGGAGTGTGTGATGTTACTCCTAAGTTCCTTCCCACTGTGACCAGCCTTAACGGTGCAGCTCTTAGGCTGGGCATAGTGAGAGTAACATAAATAGGTAGAAACTCCAAAGTTTATGTTGGTATATTTTTTGTAATATATGACTTGTATTAGGTTGGTTAAATTGACGATCTAGAGATACGCGCACGCCCTGTAAACTAAGAGAGAGGTAGTAATATAGACTAGTAATATATGCATGTTACTAGTCTAAGTTACTCCTCACTATGACCAGCCTTATCTCGCGCCATGATATTTAATACTGCATGCCAAGCGGGAGGGAACTTTTGGTCTATGGGTGTATATACACCCTATATACAAAAAAAAATTAGTAATTTAACCAAAAGTCGAAAATTCCTGAAAATATTTTTGAAATAAACTTGACTTTTTATTGTACTCGTGAGAAAATAAATCCACAAAAAAAATATCCCCTTGACTTCTTTTCAAAAAAGACAATTTTTTGGCTAAAATAGTGTGAATAGTGACCTATAATAGCAAATAATTTTTGTCTTTTTTGCTGTGAAGTCAACTTTTGTTTTTTTTTTCATCCAGATTTTTTTACTAGTGCAAAAGTAAGTCAAGTGTTTTGTCAAAATAGTTCTTGCCTATTTTGACTTTTTATTAAAATAATAATAAAAAATCCCATATAGGGTGTATATACATGCAGGTTCCAAAGTGTATTTCCCATGCCAAGCTTCTTATTTTCCGTCGGTCTTAGAACCAATATAAACTCGGACGAAGAGAATAGTTTTTAAACCTCTGCGCTGCTCATTAGGCGTGATACCTTCTTTGGTGGATTGGTTTGCCTACTTTGTGTGTAAGCAGGAGGTCCAGTGCTCGAATCATCCGTCATTCAGATTTTCTTTGAATTTTTAACTATTTTGCCGGGCTGTGTATACGTTCGCTACTATACTGGCCAGTTTTTTTTTCGAGCAAATTAGAGAGCTTTATTAAGCAAGAGCATTCCTTGGACAGTCAGCCAGCAGACTGCTCACAAGGAAGCTAGGGGTCTTGTCGAGCCAACTTTCAGTCACATTCAGTGTACATGCATGTTTTGCACAAAGATGTGCTGGTAAGTTTGCTGACCTGCTTACATGAATAACATCAAAAGTAGTGAAAAAAGAACTAAGCTCTCCTATTTCTAACAAAACTGGAGCCACAATAGAACGAGAATTGTGGCGAGTTTCCCAGAGCGACACCAGCTCCAGACAATCAACCTCCATAATCACATGCTGAAAGCCTCGTAGAGTAGCAAAACGGACTCCTTCCCGCAGTGACAAAGCCTCCATAATCAGAGGATCAGATACCCCATCAAACGGTGTGCAGCATGCACCTAGGAACGTAGTAGATGAGCGAGCAACGCCACCAGCACCCCCTCGTCCATCGGTGAAGTTAAGTGTGCCGTCTGTGGTAATTTTTATAAACCCCACTTCAGGTGGTCGCCAACCGTATCCTGGCAAGATCGACGCCACCTTCCGGGGCAGCTGTAGGAGCGCAATCGCCTCCTTCGTGGATCGGATCGTCTCTGTAGGATTTCGACCTACCTCCCCATGCTTGATCCGGTTCCTAGAATGCCATATAGACCACATAATGGTTGTAATCTTTGCACGATCATCACCTGAAAATTGTGGGCTGCATGTGATATCACGCGCCCATGTCACCGGCGAGAGAATTGGCAGTCGAAGATCAAACCATGCATATGCCTCCTCCCAAAAAAGTCGGGCATGCGGACAAGAGAGTAATGCATGCTGCAAGTCCTCCTCCCCAGCGAAGCATACTTTGCAGTTGCTAACGTCTGCAATATGGCGGTTCTTGAGCGTGTACTCATCTGGGAGAATCCCCCGAAGTACTCTCCACCAGAAAACTCTCACTTTTGGAATAACATCAAGTTTCCATAGGGCTTTTCACATTTGTTTATCATCCTCTGAGGTCCCGGTAGCCGTCCCTTCCTCTAGAGCTAATTGCTCTTTCTGAGTCACAAGAGCCCGGTACGCCGTCTTCACAGTGTAGTTGCCCGATCTATCAAACAC